AACAAAAGTGGCTGAATTTGTATCATCAATCACCCTTACTTTGATGCGGTACCTAAATAAATGTATACAATTGTCAAAAATGACTGATACAATCTAAACACAAATAGATCTATAATATAAACCATTTACATGTTCATGTATTGATATACATATATTTCAATTAAAATCGCAACCTTAAATAAACATTCATGATATGTTTGTTGCACTTATCACAGAAAAACATGAGTAGGGATAAACAACCCTAACATAGTTGCAGGCAATATACCACCAATCTTCTTCTTCAACAATGTTATTTATGGTATCAAATACCACATAACATATATCTTATTAAACAATATCATGATATATAAATGAAAGAAGCATGAAATAATGTGTCAACTTAAAAAAAGAAACAATCGTCATCATTAAACCTTGTTTCCATCTTTACAACCTTGTAAGGTTGTTTTTTTTAGAAGAATCCAAGAACTCTTCCGTCATTGAAACCTTTGTAGAGAGTTAGCTCAAACCTTGTGTAGGTAACTCCATATTTTCAAACATCCTACAACATAAATAAAAAAATAATAAAAAAGGATTAAAAAAATGAAAAATCAAGAAACACATCAGAATAAGTAATAGTCTTATTAACCGACAAAAATAACCTTTTTGCTATATTTATAGCTTCCTCACATTCTTCCCTGAAAATTAGCTTTGTACAATTTATACAGTTTTGCAAGTGTTTTTGGTCCACAACAAACATTATTAATTTATAGATTATTTAATTTTATTTAATTAAAAATGCAAAAGAATAACTTTATACCTTTCCAGCTTTTCAATTTTGCTAACTGTACTATAACTACAACATTTTGTACTTCTCCAGATACAAGAAATGCATTTAGTTCATCAACATAATTTTCAAAAAGAGTACATTCGATACGATCACTATTGATAACATCAAATGAATATAGGAGTATCATTTATTCTATTCACATATTAAATACCACATATTACATATTATAGATATAACAAAGTTTACCGATCAACCTCTAAACATTTGACATTCATCTTTGTTTTGGTACCATTTTTTTCATGCTCTCTCTTCGTACCAACACCAGTGAACAAACATATCACATCTAGAAAAAATAGATATTGTTAGTACTAATTTAAAGTATTGCATAAATTCACATGTCTATTACTACTTTTTTGATAAAATAATCAATCACAATTGCAAAAACACTTACCTACTAAGTAGCCAAAATCCCAATCACCACTCTTGATTTAACTAATAGAAATAAATTGGAAGATATTTTGAGGGCACTACTCCATTGTCCAACATTGTGACCTTCGTACAATATTGGAAATTAATCTTGTAGGCATGATTTGAGGTCTTAATAGAACCTTTGTTTAGAGAGAATCCAAAGCACTAAATGGAGTATACAAATCCTTCTTTTATGTCTTTCTAAAACTTGTAGATTAGTGTCTTCCAAACAGAGGCATGTATTCTATCTCCATGCATACAAAAAATGAAATCATAGCTTCAAGAAGTTATAATAATTGCATATAGCAAAGTGAGCTAATGCAAAGTTTACCTTACATTCCACCGAAACCAACTCCATAGAGAAAGGGATAGCTTGCTTGTTGAAATCAAAGACTGTCCATGCACAAATTACCCTTATCCTGATTTTCCAATTTTACTTATCGAGACACAACTCAAAAATTGTGTTGAATTGGTTGGCCATGATTTCAAATGACAGAATGTTGTTTGCACAACTCACCTCAGGACAACATAATTTATATAGCCCCAAAAGTAGGCTAGTAGAAAAGCTAGGCATTCAAAATTTATAGTAAAAGATCTAAAAAATTCAAATTTGAAATGTGAGAATTGAAATATAGCGAATGAATTAATTAATGAAGCTTACTGTCATAAACATGGACTATACTACGTACCTAACAATACAAAACATTTCCATTTCTATGTTTATCAAAACCCTAATAAGGTAGGACAAACATTCAAATTTTAAAATCAAAATATTAAAATGATTCATTTTGAAATATGAAATTCGCAATGAAAGACAAAACTTACTTATTCAAGCTTTTTGTCATACACCTGCAGGCTACAACCTTGTCAAGAGCCCAAATAATTGCATTTTGTTGTTTATTCAAATCCTAATGACAAAACCAAAATTTGGGGACAGTCACAAAGCTATAAAATTGTTCAACAAAAAGAAAAGTAGGGAAAGCATAATCTCTCTTCTTCCATGCTTAGCCGGATGACGTGCAAAATACCTTGATAGACCTCAAATTTACCCTGTTTAGGACCAAAAGTGAGCAAACCACGATGCCAAATATGTATTTCATAACTATCAAATATGTGTCCATTTGCCAAATACGTTTCAGATCACTTTTTGCAAATAAGAAATGAATGAGTTGGAGAATGAGAGTTCAAGATATAGCATGAGAAATGAATGAGATGGACTTATGGTTGTACAAAGTGGGCTTCATGATTTTGTCCACAGTTGAATTTTTGGGCTTTAGTTTCGTATTCATTTCCTTTTTTCCTTTTGTAGATAATTTTTGAACTCCTTTTCCTTTGGTGGTTTACTCTGCTAGTGACGTGTTTTTTTTTTCGTCTGTGATTCCTTCAACTGTTTATATTATAGATTCTCAAGAGGGTTAGTGAAATAGCTTACCAAGTTGTTTTACTTCCACACTTGTCAAACCTTCATAGTGTCTTCCATGTCCTAATTTTGCAAGTATGCCTATGATTTGTCACATGTGATTGAGTCAATCTTGAGGTTAAATACAACTTTACTTTTGAGCCTATCAGTAAGCGTTGTAGACCAAATGGTTAAATATCTCAAAGGTAAGGATATCCTTTAGTTAAGGTTATTTAGAAAGGAACTGTTTCTAAGAGTGCTACTTCGGAGTTGTAGAGCAAGATGAAGGAAATGTATCTTGAGTTGCTTGTTACAAGTAAAATTTAAGGACAAATTTTTAGTAAGTTAGAGAAAGTTGTAACATCATTTTTCTTTTAAAAAATAAATAATAAAATAAAATTGTTAAATAATATTTTTATAATATAGACTAAATTAATTTATTTAATTGAGATTATAATATAAAAAATAGGTTTTTAATAAATAAAATAAAATATAAATAAGTGGTGGATTAGATAGGAGCCTTTGGGTTTGGATTCTTAAGCCTAACTTGTAGTCTTATTAAAGTGAGAGGAAGAGAGTTAGGTCAATTTTGCATGTCTATTTTTAAATCCTACGAGTGTTTGTGAAGGAAACCTTGAGGAGTGCGTGAAGTAGATACAAAGATGGCAAAGGAGTGTGCCTGTGCCTTGAAGATCATCATCTAAGGTAAGAGGGGGAGTAAAAGGATATCTCACTTGTGGGCACTTATAAGGGATATGGGTAGTGAGACAACCCCTAAGCCTCATAGGATAATTGGTTGAAATTTGTTTGGTGCATCCATTAATTATACGAAGTTGTTGTTATTGTTATTGGAAGAGTATGATTATGATAATGTGTTGTACAATTGAATATCTGTGCAATTTGATTGATTCTAAAATCTTTTGTATGAACATGTCTAATATTTATGAGATTACTATTTGTATGATTAACCAAATAAAGTTTCATTTATTGGGCTAGAAAATAGACATTTGGGGCAACTAGTTAGAATCAAGAATCACATAAAAATTTTAAGAAATGATTGAGTTATGCGAGTTAGAAGATGAGACTCATGTATAGTGTGCAAAAAGTAATCTTTGTACCTTGTAAGCCTTGCAATGAGTGTTAAGTGATCGAATTAAGTTTCATGGTATTCATAAATATTGTGTGTAATATACCTTAAGATTGACATCTCAACAACTCCACTCTATGACTCTTCACATGGTGACACTTCACAACTCCTCACCCTTCATCGGTCAAAACCCTCCACGAGTAACCTTTTCTAAGATGTTTGACTGTCTTTAGGATCAACGATTGTCCCTAAAAACCAACACAAGACTTTTTAATGTACTTTGTCTTCACTCACACACATTTTTTGGGAAACTTTCTAGAAGGTCACCCATCCTTAAATCATTCTAAGTCAAGCATGTTTAATTATGGAGTTATTAAAAGTAGATGTATGTTGTTGGTATATATAGTACTAATTAATTACTTTAAGTCATCCTCAACTTTACAATCTCACACCTATACGAATCTCTAGGTCTTTCTTGTTCAGATGTTTCTAAGTTGTTACTATATAGTCTTAGATGTTAACTTTTCATTGGTGCTGTAATCATCAAAAAATGAGGTCTAAAACTCAAGTTGTGATCAAATAAGTGAAAGAAGGTCAAACTGTCATATTTAGGCTTAAATACTTTTTTTTTTGTAATTTTTAAAAATAGTAGATGGTAAAATCAACTCTCGAGGTCAACATAAAAGTCATTGATAATTGTCTTATCTTTTCAATAAAATTATGATCAAGATGATATCATAAGTATAACTTTAGATATCGTGTTTAGACCACACAATGTCATAGAAGTTTAAAATATGAAGAGATAGTTTGTGACTTGTAATGTGAGAGGGGATATTTGTGGATGAGTGATGAGTGGGTTATGATGAAGATGTAAAATTATGTTTGTAAGACTTTATGCTCAAGACTTTGTGCCTATATGTAATATAAGATGGTTGTGCATGATGTGATGTGAAATATTGATGTTTGGCTTAAAAATATTGTATTCAATATTTGAGATGTTGGTGAGTGATGATATATATATGAGATGATGATAATGTGTGGTATGAGATGCTCATGCATAATGTGTGTGATGAGGTGTGATAAGAGAACATTATAAGATGCATGTATTGATTCGTTTTAGGACCTTATGTGCAACGTTTGAGATGTTTGGTGTATTTGAGGTGATGTTGGTGATGAGATGATGAAATCCAGGCAAGGCTTGATCTTGAGGAGGAATCTAGATATAAAGGTTTGGAAAATTGATGATGTTGGTGTCGAGAATTTCCATTATTTGTTATATTTTATGATATTGTATAAGAGTCCATGCATTCATGCATAGTAAATGACTTGCTTTTATTAGCAGCACCTTTACTCCCTTGAAATCTAGTGGGAGCGGAGTAAGGCTTATTCTTACCTGAAGTACTAGAACTCACAGCACGGATAGGACCTCCAACTCCTTTATAGAAAGCAGCACGAGCACGGTTGTCACGATCATAAATGTTGCACCTATTAACTAGAGTGGGAAAGTGATATATCTCCTGATAGTTAATTGCAGTTTTCACTTCAGGACGCAGACCATTTATAAATTTTATGCATTTAGCTCTTTCACCACCCTCACCATGGTAGTGTGTACAATAATGAACCAAAGCATCAAATTTGGCAGCATACTCTGCCACTATGTCGTTCCCTTGATTCAGCTCAAGGAATTCCATTTCTTTTCGACTCCTCACATCATCCGGGAAATACTTCTCAAGGAAAGCTTTCTTAAAGTTGTCCCAATTCAAGTGCACCCCTCCATCAATCATCCTCCGAAGTGCTCCTTCCCACCAAAAGTGAGCATCAGCAGTCAACATGAAGGTGGCCAACTTCACCTTCTGAGTGAGGGGACAATCCATAACGTTGAAGATTTTCTCAATCTCCGTTAACCAATTCATAGCAGCATCTAGGTCATTTCCTCCTTTAAATGTAGGTGGGTGATTTCGCTGAAATTGCTCCAACCAGTTAGGAGCGACTTCAGTCCTATTGTTATTATTCATAGCTTGTGCTAATGCTTGAAGAGCATCAGCAATCGCACGATCATTTCTACCAGCCATAGTCTAAGAAAATAATACAATCAATAAACATAATCAATCATCATACTAGCATACCAACAAGTTTTACAATCAGTTCAGTCCATCATTCATGTACCAAATAAACATAGTAAACCAAATAAGCATAGTAAACTCATAACTCACGGTTGATTAGATCGACCTGCTCTGATACCACTAAATGTGACACCCTCTACCCCAACATTAATACACAATAAATGTAAACAATTAATTTTTTTTTTCTTTCTTTTTGAGTAAATAACATCTTTCATAGTTTGATAAAATAATTGCTTCAAATATCATAAGGTAGACGATTCACATTCGTAACTCATAAATCATGAAAAATCATCTTGTAAGCATCAATATTCAAGAAATCATAGAAAAGGAACATATAGATTAATTCTAGCAAAGGTGGCAGTGCCTCCTAGTTAGGAATTAATTTATAAGTTTCAAATCATATAATAAAAATAATATGATAAAGATGTACATTTTGGTCTTTTCTCAAGAATGTTCAAAATTAAAAAGAAGAGAAAATCAAAACCTTTAAAATAACAACATCTAAAATAAGCCTAGCTATGCCCAATGTCACATCCTATCAGAGCATGCCCAACTGAAGCCTTAAGCCTCATCACCAACATCCTCATGATGTTGTTCACCTGCAACATAATTTAAACACATACAAAAACAACAAGGGAGTGAGAAACATCTCACTCAGTTTCAGGTGCAGAAATAAAGGTTAGATAGCACCCACACACACACAACAAATATAAGTCACATGTAAACAATACACATACATCATCAATATCACATATACATTCATTTATCATGCAATAATGTCATGAACTCGACTCATAAATGCATGCATGTGGCGCCATAAGGAAGTTTCACATATCATCACTGGTGACCCAAAGGTACACCTGGTTACATCACTGGTGACCCTAAGGTACACCTGGTTACATCACTGGTGACCCTAAGGTACACCTTGTTAGCAAGTTACATCGCTGGTGACCCCAAGGTACACCTCGTTAGCAAGTTACATCACTGGTGACCCTAAGGTACACCTCGTTAGCAAGTTACATCACTGGTATGCGGCCTCAGCGGCACACCTGGAGTAATATATGCATATGATGCATGTCACACATTCATTATTTCATTAACTCAACATTTAACTTATTACAGAATTTCATTTAGTACATCATGTCCTCATTTGTCATAGTCTCATAATCATAGTTTGTCTCAATAGTCCATTCTTAGGTCTCATGTCATTTGTCCATATTTCACATGGTCATGTCATAAATACTCCTCATAAGGTCCGCATAGGAATTCACAGAGGACATTCTTTTTCATATTAAAACTTATTTAATTTTAACATTAATTCCATATTCATTTATTACTTTCAAGGAACAAAGTAACAAGAACAAAGTAACAAGAACAAAGTAACAAGAACAAAGTAACAAGAACAAAGTAACAAGAACAAAGTAACAAGAACAAAGTAACAAGAACAAAGTAACAAGAACAAAGTAACAAGAACAAAGTAACAAGAACAAAGTAACAAGAACAAAGTAACAAGAACAAAGTAACAAGAACAAAGTAACAAGAACAAAGTAACAAGAACAAAGTAACAAGAACAAAGTAACAAGAACAAAGTAACAAGAACAAAGTAACAAGAACAAAGTAACAAGAACAAAGTAACAAGAGCAAAGTAACAAGAGCAAAGTAACAAGAGCAAAGTAACAAGAGCAAAGTAACAAGAACAAAGTAACAAGAACAAAGTAACAAGGAATAAAGTAGACCAAATAGAACCACAAGCAAAGCCTCCTCTTCTGGATTCCTTCTTTTTCTTTCCCTCTCTCTTTCTTTCTCTTTTTCTTTCTTTCTTTCTCTCTCTCTCTCTCTCTCTCCCTTCTCTCTCTAAAATTTTACTATTTCACTCCGTTATAATTTTTTTCACCCCCTGGCCCCTATTTATAGGCCTTCTGACGCACCCGGAATGACCCGTATTGATTTCGGAACGGCCCGTTCCGGATCATTCAAATCTGGGTAAAATTCTCAACTGGAACGGCCCGTTCCAAAAACAGAATGGCCCGTTTCCATAAAGCAGAACGGCCCGTTCTGGGATTCAAGTTATCACACATTGACCATTATGGGAATGGCCCGTTTCTAACAAAATTTTTTAGGCATTTTCAGAAATCCGGAACGGCCCGTTTCCCCTTTGGGAACGGCCCGTTCTGGAGAAATCAAAGTTGGTCATTTTACAAATTGGGAACGGCCCGTTCCACTTTTGGAACGGCCCGTTCTGCTGCTTCAAAAATAGTATATTTCCATTGTTTGAAACGGCCCGTTCCACATTTGGAACAGCCCATTCCAACGTAAAAAAAATAATTTTATAAAATTTTTCATAAATAATTTTAAATTATTAAAGACCTTTACAATATTTTATAAAACCCCCTTTAATTAACTAAAATAACTATACAAAAATAAATAATAATCAACATTATACTAGTAGGAAAATTTAGGGTGTTACAGAGGTGACCATGACCGACTATAATGCTTTGTCTAGATCTTGATAGATCCCCACTAATTGAGAGTGGATTGAAAAGGTCACATAGTGTGTGATGATTTAGTCTCTATGCTCCTAGGCTGCCTTATATTTGGAGTGCCTTTGGTGATGGAATCTCTAAGGTGAATGGAATTTGAATTCTTCTTAGAAGACTCATTGCTCTTCAAGTTGCTTCCATGTATCCAAAAACTCAAAGAAAATGAATCAAATGGTGAGAAAGAAAGTGAAGTTGGTGCACCACTTTCCAAAGGAAGGGATAAGCTAGAGACGATGTGCTTGCCATAAAGAGTATTTCCTTGATGAAAGTACTTAAGGAGAGAAATTCTCCTAAGTGACTCAAGAGATTTGAGAAGGCAAGCTAGGAAGTGACAAGTTACAATGGGAAAAGGCCTTATATAGAGTTAGGAAGATTTTGGAGTAAGTTAGGCAACCAAGGTTGCTTAAATTCAAAAAAGGAAGAGGAGAAATAGAAAAGAAAAAAAATCATGTAAAATCTCAAAGATTTTGATGAGATTGTTAGATGAGTGAACTACATATAAAGTCTATTAAAAATTCTCACAAAATCCATTATTCAATTTCTATGTAAAATATTAATAAAATATTATCAGATTTTGACACACTTTTAAAAAAATTACGAATTTTTTTTATTAGATACTATATGACTTTTTTATATTAATTTTTTAATTAAATATCACAATTTTTTATAATAATTTTTTAAAAAATCTAATATAATACATGCCTTAATTAATTAGAATATTATCATAATTATTATCATTGATTCACTCTTCAGTAATATATATATATATAAAAGAAGGGCACATACACTAACTTTAAAATTTAGACAGTTAAAGCATGCTGAGAGGAGTTACATAAAAACATGAGATGAGAAATTGAGAACCTGTCTGCAAGATTTCAGGCAAATCCAAAAGAATCTCACATGAAATCTATAAAGAGAATTCTTAAATATCTAAAAGGAACAACTAATGTAGGTTTATGGTATCCAAAAGGAGTCTCACTAAGTCTGATAGGCTACTCGGATTCAGACTATGTTGGGTGTAAACTTGATAGAAAAAGCACAAGTGGTACTTGTCACCTACTTGGAAGTGCACTAGTCTCATGGCATAGCAAAAAGCAAGCATGTGTTGCTTTAAGTACAGTTGAGGCTGAATATATAGTTGCCGGGAGTTGTTGTGCTCAAATTCTCTGGATGAAACAACAACTAAGAGATTATGGAACTGAGTTGAATAAAATTCCTTTAAGATGTGATAATATAAGTGCAATAAATCTAACCAAAAATCCAATTTTGCACTCTAGGACAAAACATATAGAGATAAGGCACCACTTTTTAAAAGATCATGTTCAGAAAAATGATTGTTGTAGAGTTTGTTGAAACTAGTAAATAATTAGCTGACATATTTACAAAACCTCTACCAAAAGAAAGATTTAATCAATTGAGAATTGAACTAGGAATAATCAATGAGTCTTGTTTGAATTGATTGTGAATGTGTATTTGGGATTGATTGTTTGATTGAAAATTGATTGATGTATGTGTAAAACATTGATGTATGATGCATAAAAGAGAGAAGTTTAAGAGTGGAAATAGATTAGGAATGGTTTAGAAAGTTAGAAATAAGAGAAGCAAAACTTCTCTAGAATAATCGATTATTTTAAAATTTAATCGATTATTATAAGTGAGCCTAGGAGAATAATCGATTATTTGGGCAATAATCGATTATCTGGAAGAAGAGGAATTCCAGAAGTCTCTGGAATAATCGATTATTTGGGCAATAATCGATTATCTGGGAAGTAAGAATACAAAAAGTCTTTGGAATAGTCGATTATTTGGGAAATAATCGATTATCTGGGCAAGTTAGAGGAAATAACCCTCTGGAATAATCGATTATTCCAAAAATAATCGATTATTTAGTACAGAAAGGGTTTTTCAAAGGATTTTACGAATACAAATAATCGATTATTTGTATAGATAATTGATTATTTGCGCGACCCTTGATTTTCCATACGGTTTTTGAACAGTTTTATTCGCGCCAACCTTCAACTTTCCACTACTCTTCATTTGTGGAACCTCTCCTCTACCCAAAACCGGTGCTAGGGCTTCTATAACTTCCTAACCCTCTTATTTTTCATAAACTCACATTCTCTCAACTCTCAAACCCTAACACACTCATTCTCTTCATCTTTCTTCATCTTCTTCATCTCCACCAAAGAACCAATCTTTAACCTAACAATGGCTTCATCTTCCAAAAGGCCAAAGAAGCTAGAAGTCAGGGGGAGCAAACGTCCTCTACCCACAGAGCAACTCATCTCAAAATGGTTTGCTGATGAGAAAACCCAAGAGTATTATTTTGAATGGTATGCGGGTAGAAGAATCATCCCTCCGAAGACCTTGAAGCTGGAATGGTTCAAGAATGAGGGGTTTAGCTTTCCTCCTCTCTTGGAACACCAGGAACTTGGGAAGTTCTTAGAACTAGAAGGACCCTATTATCCTGAGCTCATAAGGCTGTTCTTATGCTTTGCCTCAAGCAATGAAGGGATAATGCAATCTGTGGTGAAGGGCAAGCTCATAAAGCTTGATGGTCTAACTTTGAAGGAAGTTGTCGGACTGAGCGAAGATGGGAGTACAAAGTCCCAACCCTTCAATTTTGGAGATTTTGAGGAGCTGACAACTTTCAGAGACTGTCAAAGGAACCCGGAGACCACCAAATATACAAAATTTCTGGCCAAAGGTATGAAGAAAAATCCACGCTTAATTTCTTTTATAATAGCTTGGATGATTAAGCCTCGGTTGCATAATCATGCTCAAATGTCAAGGGATGACATTTTTCTGATGCATGTAATCAAGAAAAAGATTAAAATAGATTGGGTGTCTATGTTGAATGACTATATGTGGAAGGCTAGGAGGAAGGAGGATGATCCAATACCATATGCTTTATTATTGTCTAGAATTTTTGAGAAAGCAGGTGTGGATCTGAAAAGGGAGAAAAAGATAATTCTCCATGCCTCGAACAAGATTGAGAAATCTTCCTTGCATCACATGGGGATGTTGAAACAGGAAGATAAATGGGTATTCAAGGGAGATGTCCCTCCGACTCCTGAACCTGCAACTGATGAAGATGGTGTTCCATCTCATGATGAAGACCAGCCACCACAAGTAGAAGTTGAACCTAAAAGAGAACAAGAATCGGAACCTAAAGCATTCTCTCCATTTGAGCAAATTATGATCAATAAGCTTGATGCGGTAATGGAGATGTCTAGGAGGCACTGTCGCCACCCGCCGAAACGGACCTTGGCATTCGCGACGATGGTCGGACTCCTTTTAAAGTTTTGAAAAATGATGGATTGTTAGAACGACTTATTCTCAAACTGAGACCTCATCGAACTAACAATTTTATTAAATGATTCACCAATCCATGTTAATCCCAAGCGGGACCCTCCATGGATTAGTGGTTTTCGCAAAAAGAAGGGTTCTTGGAGTCGCCACCAATGTTTTACTCAAAACATTGGAAAAAGGGATAAGGCAATTGATTTTCGCAAATCAACCTTGGCCATTACAACCAGAGTTGGGTAAGGGAGTCGGTTACGTGCGGGGAAGGTGTTAGCACCCCACAACGCCCCTTTCGGGTTCCCTATGA